CCATTTTTAAGTGTACAGTTAAGTGGTAATGGCTCCATTTATATTCTTTTTTTTTTTCACGTCAAACCCTTCTTCCTCCTACCATTACTGGCCTTTGGTAACCAACAATCTTCTGTCTTCATGAGATCCACTCTTTCAGTTCCCACATATGAGTGAGAGCATGTGATATTTGTCCTTCTGTGCTTGGCTTATTTCACTTAACATAATGGCCTCTAGTTCCATATATGTTGCTGCAAATGACAGGATTTCATTGTTATGGCTGAATAATACTCAATTATATGTATATTTCACATTCTCTTTATCCATTCATCCATTGATTGGCATTTAGGTTGATTCCATATTTTGGCCATTGTGAATAGTGCTGCAGTTAATGTGGGAATGCAGATATATCTCTGATATATTGATTTCCTTTCTTTTATATATATACTCAGTATTGGAATTGCTGGTCATTCTGCTTTTAGTTTTTTGAGGAGCCTCCATACTGTTGTCTATATTGGCTGTACTATTTTACATTCCCACCAACAGGGTATAAGGTTCCCCTTTCTCCACATCTTTGTTACTGCCTTTTTTATAGAATCCATTTTAACTGGTATGAGATGATATTTCATTGTGATTTTTGATTTGCATTTCTCTAATGATTAGTGATGCTATATTAATTCATTTTCATGCTGCTGATAAAGACATACCTGAAACTGGAAACAAAAAAAGGTTTAATTGGACTTACAGTTCCACATGGCTGGGGAGGCCTCAGAATCATGGCAGGAGGCAAAAACCACTTCTTACATGGTGGCAGCAAGAGAAAAGAGAGAGAAGCAAAAGCAGAAACCCTTGATAAACCCATCAGATCTTGTGAGACTTATTCACTATCGTGAGAATAGCATGGAAAAGACCAGCCCTCATGATTTAATTACCTTCTTCTGGGTCCCTCCTATAACACGTGGAACTTCTGGGAGATAAAATTCAAATTGAGATTTCAGTAGGGATACAGCCAAACTGTATCATTCTACCCCTGGCCCCTCCAAATCTCATGTCCTCACATTTCAAAACCAATCATGCCTTCCCTTAACTCACTTATGAGTTAAGACTTTGGGGGATGGTTGGGAAGTTAAACTCACAGCATTAACCCAAAAGTTCAAAGTCCAAAGTTTCATCTGAGACAACTCAAGTACCTTCCATCTATAAAATCAAAAGCAAGCTAGTTACTTCCTAGATACAGTGGGGGTACAGGTATTGGGTAAATATAGCCATTCCAAATGGGAGAAATTGGCCAAAACAAATGAGTTACAGGGACTATGCAAGTCCAAAATCCAGCGGGATGGTCAAGTTTTAAAGCTCCAAAATGATCTCCTTTGACTCCAAGTCTCGCATCCAAGTCATGCTGATGCAAGAGGTGGGTTCCCATGATCTTGGCAGCTCCACCCCTATGGCTTTGCAGCGTACAGCCTCCCTCCTGGCTGCTTTCATGGGATGGCATTGAGTGTCTGTGGCTTTTCCAGATGCATGGTGCAAGCTGTCAGTGGATCTACCATTCTGGGGTCTGTAAGACTGTGGTCCTCTTCTCACAGCTCCACTAGACAGTGCCCCAGTAGGCACTCTGTGTGGGGATTCCAACCCCACATCTCCCTTGCACACTGCTCTAGTAGAGGCTCTCCATGAGGGCCCCACTCCTGCAGCAAATGTCATTCTGGACATCTAGGTGTTCCCATACATCCTTTGAAATCTAGGTGGAGGTTCCCAAACCTCAGTTATTGACTTCTGTGCATCCACAAGCTCAACACCTTGTGGAAACTGCGAAGGCTTGGGGCTTCCACCCTCTGAAACCACAGCCCAAGCTGTACATTGGCCCATTTCAGCCACGGCTAGAGCAGCTGGGACACAGGGCACCAAGTCCCTAGACTGCACACAGCATGAAGACCCTGGTCCCGGCCCAATAAACCACTTTTTTCTTCTAGGCTTCTGGGCCTGTGATGGGAGAGGCTGCCGTGAAGGTCTGTGACTTGACCTGGAGACATTTTCCCCATGGTCTTGGAGATTAACATTAGGCTCCTGTCTATATATGCAAATTTCTGTAGCTGACTTGAATTTCTCCCCAGAAAATGTTCTTTTTTCTATCACATTGTCAGGCTGGAAATTTTCCAAACTTTTATGTTCTGTTTCTCTTTTAAAATTGAATGCTTTTAACAGCACCCAAGTTACTTCTCAAATGCTTTGCTGCTTAGAAATTTTTTCCACCAGATACCCTAAATTATCTCTCTCAAGTTCAAAGTTTCACAAATATCTAGGGCAGGGGCAGAATGCCACCTGTCTCTTTGCTAAAACATAACAAGAATCACCTTTGCTCCAGTTTCCAACAAGTTTCTCATCTCCTTCTGAGACCACCTCAGCCTGCACCTTATCATTCATATCATTATCAGAATTTTCATCAAAGCCATTCAACAAGCCTCTAGGAAGTTCCAAACTTTCCCACGTTTTCCTGTTTTTTTCTGAGCCCTCCAAACTGTTCCAAACTCTACCTCCAGTTCCAAAGTCGCTTCCACATTTCTGGTTATCTTTTCAGCAACACCCACTCAACTGGTACCAATTTACTGTATTGGTTCATTTTCATACTGCTGATAAAGACATATCCATAACTGGAAACAAGAAGAGGTTTAATTGAACTTATAGTTCCATGTGGCTGGTAGGCCTCAGAATCATGGCAGGAGATGAAAGACATTTCTTACATAGTAGCAGCAAGAGAAAAATGAGGAAGAAGCAAAAACAGAAACCTCTGATAAACACATCAGATCTCATGAGACTTATTCACTATCACAAGAATAGCATGGGAAAGACCAGCCCCATGATTCAACTCCCTCCCTGGGAGGTGTTGTCCCTCCTACAATATGTGGGACTTCAGGGAGATACAACCAAGTTGAGATTTCAGTGAGGAAACAGCCAAACCATATCAAATATTGAATATTTTTTCATGTAACTGTTGGCCATTTGTATGTCCTCTTTTGAGAAATGTCAATACCAGTCTTTTGCCCATGTTAAATCAGATTAATGTTTTTGCTTTTAAATAGTTTGAGCTTCCTATATATTCTGGTTATTAAACCCTTCTCATGGATAGTGTGCAAATATTTTTCCCCATTCTGTAAGTTGTCTCTTCACTTTGTTAATTGTTTCCTCTGCTGTGCAGAAGCTTTGTAGTTTGATATAATCCAATTTGTCTATTTTTGCTTTGATTACTTGTGCTTTTGAGATCTTATGGAGTAAATCTTTGCCCAGACCAATGTCCTGGAGATTTTCCCCCAATATTTCCTTCTAGTAGATTCATAGTTTAGTTCTTAGATTTAAGTATTTAATCAATTTTGATTAGATTTTTATATGGTGAGAGATAAAGGTCTAGTTTAATTTCTTCTGCCTGTGGATACCCAGTTTTCCAGCACCACTTATTTAAAAAGACTGTCCATCCCCCATTGTATTTATTGGTGCGTTTGTCAAAGATGAGTTGGCTGTAAATGCATGTATGTATATCTGGATTCTCTATTCTGTTTCATTGTTCTATGTATCTATTTTTATGTGAGTACCATGATGTTTTGGTTACTGTAATTTTACAGTAAGTTTTGAAATCAGGTAGTGTGATACCTTCAGTTTTGTTTCATTTTGTTTTGTTTGCTCAGTATTGCTTTGACTATTCAAGGTCTTTTGTGGTTCCATATACATTTTAGAATTTTTTTTTCTGTCTCTGTGAAGAATGTCATTGGTTTTTTGATAAGGATTGTATTGAATCTGTGCATTGCTTTGGGTATTACTATTGTCAGTTTAACAATATTAATTATAATATTAATTTTATTTCTTTTCAGAGGTTTATGGTTTTCCTTAACCATAAAGGTTAAGTGCAAGGTTGACCTTGCACTTCTTTGGTTAGATTAATTTCTAGGTATTTTGTATCATTTGTAGCTATTGTAAATGCAATTGCCTTCTTGATATCTTTTCAGATTGTTTACTGTTTGTATATATAAATGGTACTGATTTTTATATGTTAATTTTTGTATCCTGCAAATTTACGGAATTTGTTTATCGGTTCTAATAGATTTTGGTGGCATCTTTAGTTTTTTCCAGGTATAAAATCATGTCATCTGCAAACAAGTTTTATTTGACTTCTTTCTTTCCAATTCAGATGGTATTTATTTCTTCTTTTTTTTGGCCTAGGAATTCCAGTCAAGACTTCCAATGTTATGCTGAAAAAAAAGTGGTGAAAGGGGGCATCCTTGTGTTCCAGTCCTTAAAGAAAAGGCCTTCAATGTTTCCCCATTCAGTACAATGTTAGCCATGGGTTTGTCACATATGGCCTTTATTATTTTAAAGTATGTTCCTTTTATACCCATTCTGATGAGGGTTTTCATCATAACGAATGCTGAATTTTATCAAATGCTTTTATGGCATCTGTTCAAATAACCATACAGTTTTTGTTGTTGATTCTGTGAATGTGATGTATCATACTTATTAATTTGCATATGTTAAGCCATCCATGCATCCCTGGAATGAATCCCACTTGATCATGATGAATGATCTTTATGATTATTGTTAAAGTCAGTTTTGCTAGTATTTTGTAAAGGATTCTGTGCATTTATGTTCATCAGTGATACTGGCCTGTAATTTTCTTTTTTTCTTATTGCATTCTTGTCTGGTTTTGGTTTCAGCATAATGCTGGCCTCATAGAATGAGTCTGGGAGTGTTCCTTCCCCTTCAGTTTTTTTGAAGAGTTTGAGTAGAATTGGTATCAGTTTATTATCTCTAAATGTTTTACAGAATTCAGCAGTGAAGCCGTCAGGTCCTGAACTTTTTATTATGGAAGGCTTTTTATTATGACTTTGATCTCATTATTCAATACTGGTTTGTTGAGGTTTTCTATTTCTTCATAGTTTAATATTCATCAGTTGTACATGTCCAGAAATTTGTCTATTTCTTCTAGGTTTTCCAATTTGTTGGTATACAGTTGTTCATAATACTGTCTAAAGATTCTTTGTATTTCTGAGGTCTCATTTATTGTATCTCCTTTTTCATTACTGAATTTATTTCTTTGGGTCTTCTTTTTTTCTCAGTCTAGCTAAAGGTTAGTCAATTTTGTTTATCTTTTCAAAAAACTAACTTTTTGTTTCATTTGCCTTCTGTATTTTTTGCTCAATTTTATTTATTTATGCTCTGATTTTCATTATTTATTTCCTTCTACTGATTTGGGGCTTGGTTTGTTCTTGCTTTTCTAGTTCCTTCAGGTGCACTGTTAGGTTGTTTATTTGAAGATTTCCTACTTTTTGATACATGTATTTATTATCATCAACTTCCCTTTTAGGATTGTTTTTGATGCATCCCACAGATTTTGGTATGTTTTATTTTTATTTTCATTGGTTTTGAGAAATTTTACAAATTTCCTTTTCAATTTCCTCATTGACCCATTGGCCTTTCAGGAGCATGTTGCTTGATTTTCATGTGTTTTTGTATTTTCTGAGGTCCCTCTTGTTACTGATTTCTAGTTTTATTTCATTGTGGTCAGGGAAAAAAAAAAAAACACTTTATGTGATTTTTATTTTTTTTAATTTGTTCAGACTTGCTTTGTGTCCTAACTTGTGATCTACCCTGGAGGATGTGTCATGTGCTGATGAGAAGAATGTGTATTTGGCAGCAGTTGGGTATAATGTTCTATAAATTTCAGTCAGGCCTATTTGATCTGGTGTATAGTTTAACTACGGTGTTTCTTTGTTGATTTTCTGTCTGGATGATCTGTCCATTACTGAGAGTGAGATGTTAAATATCCTATTAATATTTTACAGCAGTCTATCTCTTCCTTTAGATCTATTAATGTTTGATTTATATACTTGGAAGCTCTGATGTTAGGTGCATAGATATTTATAGTTGTTATATCTTCTTGCCAAATTGACTGCTTCATCATTGTATAGTGACCTTCTTTAACCTTAGTTTTTTAGTCTAGTTTATCTAAGTATAGCTACTTTTGTTTTTTATTGGTTTCCAGTTGCATGGAATATTTTTTCCACCCCTTCACTTTAAGCTTATGCATGCCTATATAGGTGAAGTGAGTTTCTTGAAGGCAGCATATAGTTGGGTCTTGTTTCTTTATCAATTCAGTCACGTTATGACTTTTAATTGGAGAATTTAGACCATTTATAGTTAGTGTTATTATTGGTAAGTAAGGACTTGCTACTGCCATTTTGCTGCCTATTTTCTGGTTGTTTTGAGACTACTCTCTTCCTTTCTCAGTCTAGTTTTTTTTCATGTTTAAGTGATTTTCCCTGGTAGTGTGTTTTAATTTCTTGGTTTTTATTTTTGCTGAATCTATTATAGGTTTTTGCACTGTAGTTACCATTAGGCTTACAAAAAAAATAGATATCACAAGTTATTTTATGTAGATGACAATTTACCTTAGATAAAAAGGCAGAAACAAAGGCAAAACCACACATACAAAAAAAAGCTACATTTTGTCACCCTCATATTTTGAATTTAGTTGTCTCCATTTGCATATTTTTATATTACATATTTTTTAATAAGTTGATGTAGCTATTATTGTTTTTGACAGATGTGTCTTTTGGGCTTTATTATTAGAGTTGTAAGTAGATTACACACCACCATTATAGGAATAGAGTATTCTGGGTTTGTCTACATACGTAATTCTACCAGCGGGTTTTATACCTTGAAAAGTTTTCTTTTTGTCCATTAATTATTTATCTATTTCAGATTGAAGAGCTCCCTTTAGCATTTCTTGTACGACAGATCTGCTGGTGGTGAATTCTCTCAACTTTTGCTTGTCTGGGAAATATTTTATCTCTCTTTCATAGTTGAAGAATCATTTTGTGGTGAATGCTCTCAACTTTTGCTTGTCTGGGAAAGACTTTATCTCTCTTTCATAGCTGAAGAATAATTTGGCTGGACACAGTATTCTTGGATGGCAGATTTTCTTTTTCTTTAAACACTTTGAAAATGTCATTCCATTCCCTCCTGAATACACCTATGCCTTTGTATTGAAGGATTAATTATTTTTTAAAATTTCCTCTGACAGGCTTGTTTTGTTTTTTAGTGGATATATTTGACTAGCAAATCTTTACCACTAGACTGCAGCCTTCTTTATGGCCCTTTTGGTTTCTTAAGTGCAGGTTCACCTTGGCTTTGGTAAATGATTAGAGCGCTGTTGGTTTTGAATGGGTGAGGTCCCAAAGGGACCTGGTAGTGTGGGAAGTCTAGCTAGGAGTTTATGCACAAGGAAACTATGAAACAAATTTACTATGGTGTGGTGCTTCTGAACAGCCACTCTGATTCGGTGTCTTCTTTGCCACGTTGCAGAACAGTGTTTCCAGGGCTGGGGATGGTAGTTCTACTTCCCTACTTTGTCTCTGACTGTCCTCTGGTATATTTCTCCCTTCAGGCAGCCACAATGCTTCCGATAGGTTAAGACAATGACAGATCTCCTCTCAAGAAATACAAGGTGGTAGAAAACCTGGTTGGCCATCTCAATCTCATTTTTTCTTTTGTAGAAACCATGAGTTGGAGAAGATTTTTCAGGTGCTAGTTGCCAGCCAGAATGGGGGAAAGGGCATCATGGATGTGGAAGTCTGATTCTCCCACCGTCTGCTCAAAGTACTCTCATTTCTCTGTGGTGCCAGCATCTGTCATATTTGATTCTGGGTTGTTTCTGTACATCGTTTTTGGTTTTCTGACAAGGAGGTGGGGTAATAAAACCAGCTTGCTTCTATGCCACCATTTAAACTGGAAGTTTAAGATCACTTTGTCTCAGACAAATAATAATCTTCTTAAAATAAGTATATAATGTGTGAGAATAGATTATTTTGTCGAAGGAAAACAAATATAAGTCTCTATTTCTTACAGAAATGAATTTATTTTCTCACTTTTAGCCTTCCATTGGAAAAAAAAAAAAAAGTATACTAAAGCCAGCCTAGTTATTATTCTGTACCCTTAAGACATATTTCAGTGATGAAGTTGACAAGTTATACTCAGATTTTTTTCAGCTATAAAACTGTGCTATTATAAAGATGAAGCCTGTAAGAATCTTTCAAAAGGTAGAATTCAATCATGTAACTCGTTAATTCTACACAAAAAAGTCACATCAAAGACAGATATGTATTTTTTTATAATTTAAAAAACGTCTTATTAAAAAAGAAAAAAGGAAAAAAGGCCAGGCATGGTGGTTCATGCCTATAATCCCAGCACTTTGGGAGGCTAAGAAAAGTGGATTGATTGAGTTCAGGAGTTCAAGACCAGCCTGGATAACATGGCAAAACCCTTTCTTTATTTTAAAAAATACAAGAAATACTAGCTGGGTGTGGTAACATGTCCCTGTAGTCCCAGCTATTTGAGAGGCTGAAGTGGGAGGATCACTTGAGCCTGGCAGGTAGAGGTTATAGTGAGCCATGATTATGCCACTGCCCTCCAATCTGGGCAACAGAGCAAGACCCTAACTCCAAAAGAGAAGAAAAAAAAAAAAGAGAAAACCGAACCAGCTAATGACATTGTTAATAGCAAGAAATATTATTTAAAATAACAGTAGCTGCAAATACAGTGATATTAGTAGCTCTGTCCTTTTATTTAAAGGAGCTTATGTTAGTTTAAATTATATTAAAATCTTTGAATATTTTAGTTCAAAATACTTATACACTGTCTATATAGAAAAGCAATAGATTACTTAGGAAATTTCTACTTTAAAATAAATGTGAATTTCTGACAGCAGGCTCATTCCCTCACTCATTCCACTCCTTCCATGCTGTCCTCTTTGGTTTTTTTTGCCATCCAGGGAATCTCCTGCCTCAGAGCCTTTGCATTTTCTCTTCCTTCTCTTGGATACTTGTGCCGTAAAGACTCACATGGCTCATCCTCTCACTTTCTTCAGATCTTCACATAAATATCACCTTCTGAAGGAGGCCTTCTTTGACTCTGCTATGGTTTGGATACTTGACCTCTCTAAACTTGATGTTGAAATATAATTTCCAATGTTCAGGGTGGGGCCTAGTGGGAGGTGTTTGAGTTGTAGAGGTGGGTCCATCATGAATGGCTTGGTACCACTTTTGAGGTAATGAGTGAGCTCTTGTTCTATTAGTTCCTAACAGCTGGTTGTTAAAAAGAGCCTGGCACCTCACTCTTTCTCTCTCACTTTTTTTCTCACCATGTGATCTTTGCACATGCCAGCTCCACTTCTCCTTCTGCCGCAAATGGAAGCAGTCTGAAACTCTCACCAAAAGCAGATGCTGACAGCATGCTTTTCGTACAACCAGCAGAACCATGAGCCAAATAAACCTCTTTTCTTGTAGAACCTGCAGAACCATGAACCAAATAAACCACTTTTTAAATAAATTATCTAGCTTCAGTTCCTTTATAACAATACAAAGACAGATGCCCTCAATATTCTCTACTCCCATTCCCTGCACTATTTTTCTTCATGTATTTATCCCTTTCTAATGCATTATGTTTAACTTTCTAATGTATTACATATTTTACTTCTTTATTACAATTCAGTAAATATGTATTGCATTGATCAGTAAATAAAAGGAAGGAAGGTAGGGATCCCAGTGACATACATTTTGCTTGAGTGGCTTTGTAGACACTATGTGGCTCTGAGTCTATAATGCTGGTGGCAGCTTCTTGCTCCAGTTCATAGCTAAGGAGGTGTGATGCTGGAATCAAGTGTTTGGAATAGTGTCTTCCTGACTCCCCAGCTTTCCGAAGGTTGCAGAGGTAGCCCTTTCTTGGGTGAGTTAGTTCTTGGTTGATATTCTGGAAGTCGATCTTGGAGACATAGCCTAAAACCAGCTCTTCCCCATGATTAATCTCTTTCTTCTCAGATTAGCCTAATGTTTCCTGTTACCTACAACTGAGCCCCAACTAATAAAGTATTATATCCTCCATTTTACAACAAGAAAGCCAAGTATCAGGAACATTAAATGACAACAATAAGTTAAACCCAAGTTTATATGATCCCACAAACAAAATGAACTGTAAGATATTACAAAGGATATGGACAAATAGCCAGACAGAATACATTCATAAGGCAAGGTATGTGGGAAGGGGCGTGAGGTTTCCATGCCCTCTGTGGGTATGCTGCCCTCCAGACACCTCCACACGTTCAGCAATCCAGAAGCCTTTCTGAACCCTGTTCTTTTGGGTTTTATGGAGGTTTCATTACATAGGCATGATTGATTACTTTATTAGACATTGGTGATCAACTTAACCTTCAGCCTTTCTCTTCTGCTTGCAGGAGTTGGGGAGTAGGGCTGGAAAGGCTGAAGCTCCCAACTCTCTAATTATGCCTTTCTAGTGACCCCCATCCTGAAGCTACCTAGGTGCTCTTAGCCACTGTTATCTCAGTAACATACAAAAAAAAAAAAAAAAAAAGCTTATCACTCAGGAGATTCCAAGGATTTTAGGAGCTGCATGCCAGAAAATGGAATGAAGATCAAATACCTATTTCACAACATTACAGAACAATTCTAGATTCCTCTGCCAATGGCTCAGGATATTTAAAACCTACTCAGTCCAGGAAATTCCTCTTGTAATCCTCAGAAACATAGATTTTTGGAACTAATGATAAATGTGTTCTTTCCAGCCCAGCTCTCTTTCTGGAATTCTTTGCATCTGCTACCAATGCCTATTAAGGGTGCTCCCAAAGACAATAAAATCTTGCCGCTCAATAGTTCAGTGTTTGGCATCATGTATAATGTATGATATTTTAGGAATGTTCAAGAAACATTGCAGTGGAAAACTCAAATTCAGTCACAAAAGTGGCTCTTTGGTTATAAAACATCCATTGTGGGTTTACAATCTATATTAGAATCAAATCTTCTTTCATCTGAAACTGGCTTGTTTTCCTTTTCTGATTATTCAGTTGATGACATGTGATTTGGGACAATCAGGGGCTGAGAATCTGGCGGTTGCTTCTAGTCTTTTGCACAATCTAAGGCAACTACACTCTTTCCGTGTTTAGTTATGTTTTGTGTATTTGTGGAATTTGGTTTTGAAATGGAAACTTTTTTTGAGAAAACCATCTCAGAAAAAAACATGGACAGGGAAAATCCTATCCATTATTTACATAACATTATACAGACAAGCCAAGAACAGGCTGCTTCTCTGAAGAACTAAATCTAGAAACAGATTTCACAATGTAGGAAGCAAATGAAGTTGGAGAGAGCAGAGGATAATAGGCCCAATATATTTTGTTTTCCTTTTTTTTTTTTTTTTTTTTTTTTTTTTTTTTTTTTTTTCAGAAATATTTGAAAGTTAGCAATGCAAAGTTATCAAACGATACATGGGTTAATTGTATTGCACTTTTATCATATTGTTTCATTGTTGCTGTTGTTGTTGTTGTTGTTGTTGAGACAGGGTCTCATTCTGTCGCCCAGGCTGGAGTGCAGTGGTGCAATCTCAGTTCACTATAGCCTCCACCTCCCA